AGTTTTAAGTTTCCTTCTTTCAATGACTCAGATATCTTAGAATAGTTTGAAAAGTTTGTTGTGTTCTTATTTAGAGCTTGCACAATGAGTTGTCGGTTGTGTTGTATTTCTCTCATAGACGCTGTTTCTTTCGACATTTTTATTCTAGATAAAATATGCTTTCAATAGAAAAAGAAAATTCAAGAGTTGCTACAACTAAACCATTAGATGAACTTTTTACTAATGTCGGTCAAAAGTTTGAGACAGAGACCGTAAAGCATGAAGGCTATCGTTTTGACTACCCACTTAGATGGTTAAGAGACCCATCCGTCACAAAAGCTATTGGCTTTCGTAGAATGAAGTTCATTTCAGAAGCCATACATGGTTTCCCATTTACGGTCGCTTTTGAAATTCGATACTATAACAAAGAGAAACGTACGTATGAGAAATTTGAACAGGGAAAACTTTTACAAGTGAATTTGCTTGTAAACTTAGAAACAACTCTTCAAGCTTTTCAAGAAAAAATAAACGATATCTATCTCGAATATGCAAAACAGTACAACATTGACGAAGGAGAGTACCATCTCGATATTATATATGACAGGAAAAATGCAACTGTTAAAATCAATAGAATAGAAGACCTTGGAGAAGACGTTTATATTTCTACAAAATATAACAACTTGGCATGGTATAGGTTTCTGAGGATGTTAAATCAGCCTGCAGCATATCCAGTACACCCAGACTTTTATGAAGTCGAAAACCCTAATGGAACATATGAAAATGTTTTCGACTCAGATGCTATTATAGTTCATGCTTCATTTTCTGGTGCACAAAACTCTTTTTTATGCTTGGCAAATGACTTTTACGAAAAACCTACAAAGCTATATGAACCACCAAGTGGAAGTATTTCAGACTTTCAAGTATGGTTTACAACAGATGGAAGAAAGAGAATAATTCCATTATACCATGCGTTTTACTTAGAACTTAGTTTCATATACAACTACTATCGAACGGTAAAAATATAACTTTTTAATACGGTTGAGGTGTTGGATTTGGTTGCCAACTAGACTGTGGTGCAGGTTCAGGCTGTTGTATAACAGGAGCTTGTTCTTCTGGTTCAGGGTCTTTAGGTATAATACCAACAAACTGACCTACCCTTTTACCAATATTTTTGACACCGTTCCAAATTCCTCTTCCTACGGTTTTTATTCCATTCCATATACCTCTTCCAACATTTCGAAAGAAGTTTCCTATTCTTCCAAAGAAACCCATTTTACTATATGTAAAAATCTAATGTCCACCTAGTCTCTTACGTTTCCTTCTGAGTTCCATAGCATTCTTTAACTGGAGCTCATACATTCTATTTCTCCTCTGGTAGAAAACATACTCTGGGTCAACTCCTGTGTTCGCGTCATCTGCATAAAGTTGTTTATATCCCACTTCAGGGTTTGTATAAAACTCTTTCCATCTCATATTTGCATACCATGGTGGCAAACCTAACGCAGCGTCATTTGACATGGCAGTTTGCATTTGTACATCTGTTGGCACTTGACCATAGTTTGCCATTGCAGTTTGTATTCTAACTTCATTTGGAATATTCTCTGGGTTTGGTTGTCCAGGTTGCTGTGCATTCGCTAAGTTCTGTGCGTCCATTTAATATTAGATAAAAATATCTCTTACGAGTACATATGCTGAACATTTGCAGGCATTGGTTCATCTTCATATTCTCTATATCTTTCTGCCACGTCAAATAAGTAAATGACACAATGGAAAAAACCTAAAACAAGTAGTCCTATTTCAAACCACATTTACTTACTAGTAAAATTTCTTTGTTATGACACTTTCTCCAGTTTATAGGACCTCTCTCATATTCTATCTTATCGTATCTAAACTCATAGTCATGTATGTCCTCTAACCATCTCATGACACTTTCCAAACCACTTTTATCGGATGTAAAGTAAAAGCATGGATGGTTATGTAAAACGTCTAAAGTTTCTAAAGAGTCTCTCAAAGTCCAGTCTACTTGGTATTGAAAATCCCATGTGTTATAGAACGGCGGGTCCACTATAAAGAAAACATTTTCCTTGTCTTTATATTTTTCATACAACTCTGTCCAATGACATCTCACAAACTCTATACCCTCAATATATTTTTCTATGTTCTCTTTGAAAACATTTGTATAGTTAAGATATAAAACTTTTGACATAAGTGTTTCAATGTCATGAACTCTTATAGCACCACTATATAATAGTCTAGAAGATATACTATCCCAGTCAATATACTCTGCTTTTTTCAAAACCTCTCTGACAGTATTTTTCTTATCTAATGGTATACGTTCCATCTTACCTATAGGTATCTTTTCTTTTAACTCTTTCAATATTTTGTTTGTGTCTGGTATATGTTTGAGACGGTTCATATAGTTGTCGAAGTCATTGCATATAATCTTTGAGTCAGGAAATACAGTATGGCACAAATGAGATATATAGAAACTTCCACCGAACAAATCTACAAATGTTAGACCATTCGGTAGTTTCTTAAGTTCTCTCAATAGAATATCTTTACATCTACTCTTATTTCCAAAGAAGGGTAACGGTGGTTTTGTAAAATTCATTTTATATATATATAATAAAAATGTTTTTACCTGAAAAGTGACAGAAAAGTGACAAAACATGAAAACATATATATTTTGTGAAAAGCTCCTGGAAGACCCGTATATAAGAACTTCATTTATACTAAACATCTTCAGGGGCTAGAGGGGCGCAGCCCTGGAAGCCCCACTACCTTTTTTTTTTTTTTTTTTTTTATAATTAGGAAAAAGTTAGTTTTGAGAGTACTTTTCATAGGCATATAGAATGAAATCTTCTGAAAAATAATATCACATAAACTCATATTATTTTCTAATATATAACTATTTTATATAAAAATCAAATTCAATGATCTTAAAAGCGAAGGATAAACCTCAAAATTTACGAATATAATGAGTGGGAATATAATGCTTATCTATCATAAAACCATATGAAATATCAATTTTTGCTTTACGCCTAATTTTTGACGACAATTAGCAAAAATGTTAAATGTTAACACTCAGTCCATTTGAATATGAAAAATAAAATTGACTTTGATTAAATGTTTTTATTTATCATGCAATTCTTCTTGCGACCAAAGATTTGAATAAAAGTTCAAAAAATAAGATAGCTTAAAAAATAATATACGGTAGTGTTTACTAATAGATGAATAGTATATAAATTCTATTAAAATGGATTTGATCCAAAAAAATATATAAAATTTGATCATAAATAAAATTGTTTTAAATTACTTCTTCATTTAAATTATAACAATTATTTTTGGTTTTATATTTTTTGGATCAAATCCATTTTAATAGAATTTATATACTATTCATCTATTAGTAAACACTACCGTATATTATTTTTTAAGCTATCTTATTTTTTGAACTTTTATTCAAATCTTTGGTCGCAAGAAGAATTGCATGATAAATAAAAACATTTAATCAAAGTCAATTTTATTTTTCATATTCAAATGGACTGAGTGTTAACATTTAACATTTTTGCTAATTGTCGTCAAAAATTAGGCGTAAAGCAAAAATTGATATTTCATATGGTTTTATGATAGATAAGCATTATATTCCCACTCATTATATTCGTAAATTTTGAGGTTTATCCTTCGCTTTTAAGATCATTGAATTTGATTTTTATATAAAATAGTTATATATTAGAAAATAATATGAGTTTATGTGATATTATTTTTCAGAAGATTTTGTGTTCTTCTTCAAAATTTTATTTTTTATTAAAAAGAATCGTTACAAAATATACATTTACTTTAATTAATATTTAAAAACGTGCTCTATCAAAAGTTCCAAAAATTCAATATTTTAGCTTTTCTGAGGTGTCACTTTTGATGAATTTCTGTTTACAACAATATATTTAAAATAAATATCATTTTATTTTTTTCATTGGTGTCTGTCAAACCATAATACACTATTCAAAAATTCAATGTGTCTTGCGGTTTCAAAAGACACCTTCAAATTGAACGATAGCACAGACACTATTGAATTTTACCCATTTTATTTAGTTTTTACCCTTTTTATTTTTAAGAATTAATGACTGAAACAGCCGTTTTGCTATGACCTCAATCACTTTTATTTATTATTTTAAATATTATTTAATTTTATTATTTGAATAGGCCAACTTATATTTGAGAAGCTCAATTTGAGACCACTTAATACATTGAAATATCATAAATATTGAAATATTAAAAAGTGTATTTCAAAATATTGAAATTATAAAAATTTATAATACTGAAATTGAGACAAATTAATAAATTCAATGTGTTTTTTTTGAAATAACTCTCAAATATTATTTTTTTGTTTATTTAATGATGAATAAATATGATTGCTTTTGTCAATCATAAAAACTAATTTAAGTTTAAAATAATGAAAGGATAATTTGATCGTTTTTTAAAATACATTTATTTTTGATGATTTGCAAGAATCTTTGAAAAGAATATAATATAGGTTCTATTATTGTAAAATTTATCCAAATCATGTATTACATAAATTACGATTAAAACGATGAAAGAACCAAAAAGTGTGTTTTGTGTTTTGTTGTTGCGTGTTGGATGCGGGATCCTGTTATTTCCGAAATCGACAAAAAATTTGGAAATTTAATTTCCGAAATCGAAATTATATTAATGTTTTTAATATTCTTATATCAAAAGGATTAAAGTTCATTAAGAGAAAAACAATTCTTCTTCTTCAATCTATTGGCGCATTTATTTCTACACGCCAATAAGGAAGGGAAAATTATAAGACACCATGGTGTCTTCAAAACGCTAATTTTTGATATTTTTAACAACCCTAGATAGATCCACAGCCCTTATATTTGCTATAGTAAAGAATTATATTCAAACATTGGAACTTCTTGTTTCTAATGGTGCAGATATAAATGCAATATAATATAATTATTTGCCTGTTATTTTTTTCTAATGGAGCGGATATAAATGCCATGTATAATTCTGGGAAAACTTGCCTTCATTCTGCAGCAACAACAAACTGCAAAAATGCTGATGAATTTCTAATTTATCATGGTGTTGATATTAATAAAGCTAGAAATGATGGAAAAGCACCTCTTTTTGTGCAACTTGCGATAAAAAGCTTAGAAACGACCGAATTCCTTATATTGAATAGTACAGATGGAAATGCGTAAATTTTTAATGGACAAATTCCTCTTCATATTGCAGCATTAAAGAACTACAAAGGACTTGCAGAAATCCTTATTTCACATGATGCAAAAATCAATAAAGCCGACAAAAAGTTACTCCCCTTTATCATGTGGTGCATGAAAAGAGTAAAGAACAGCAGAACTTCTAATTTTGCATGGACCATATGTGAATGCCGAAGACAATAATGAGCAAGCTCCTATGCATTTAACAGCAATAAGAGATAGTAAAGAAACAGCAATAATTGAAACAATAAGAATTACCGAAAAAGTGACAAAACATCAAAAACAGGGAGGGGGTCTCAATTTTTATTACTTATATTATTTTACAATATTTATATAAATACTCTTTATAATATATTTTACTATAAAATTATACCTCAAATTCAAATATTTAAAATATTATTTACATAATTATCTCAAAATTATATTTTTATATATTATTTTTCATATGTATAAATCATATAATCTATATCTATGCAAATCTCATCTAAATTTTTTTGAAACAAACCGCTACCATTTTATAATGGTCCATCTTAAATTCATCATAAATTCTGGTACATGTTAGTACCAGAGTCTTCAAATCTCAAACACTCTGGTACCAACATGTACCAGACGCGAGTTTCCAATGCCCTCGTACGATTTTCTATTAAGATCTTCTTGAATGAGAAGGTCTTCATAGAAACTCGTACGAGGGCTTCTCTTTTAAATACTCTGGTACCTGCTGGTATCGGAGTCGACTTTACAGCCCTTTCCCAAATTTTGAAGCTGGGGAAAGTTTTCAAGCAATGAAAGGGAAGCTCTCGCTATGAGGTGAAAATCTAGAATTTTTACCTCATAGCGAGTAATCCTTTGTTAATTGCTTGAAAACTTTCTTCAAATTATCAAAATTTCGAGGAAAGTTTCCTTGCTTCAAAGTAGAGATGGAGCCCTTTGAGCCACTGCATATAGGTCAGTGACTCAAAATACACCATCTCTACTAGAAATCGCCAAAATTTGGGTCGCAATCTTTGAAATGCGACGCAAGTTTGGGCAATTTCGCGAGGGACTTGCTCCATTTGGTGCATAGATTCACACTCTATGCACCAGATGGAACAATTCTTTCGCTGACAGCGGGAAACTTTGTCTGAATAGTTTAACATTCAGACAAAGTTTTCCGCTGTCAGGGAGGGAATGGAAGGGTAAGAGGTATATATTCATAATGTATACCTCTTACTCTTCCATTCCCTCAAGAAAGTTCAAAAACTTGGGTGCAATCAGAACTGATTGCACCCAAGTTTTTGAACTTTATATAAGGAATTGTTGGCTATGATGTACTGATCATGAATCAGTACATCATAGCCAACAATTCCTTCGCTGACAGCGGGAAACTTTGTCTGAATAGTTTAACATTCAGACAAAGTTTTCCGCTGTCAGGGAGGGAATGGAAGGGTAAGAGGTATATATTCATAATGTATACCTCTTACTCTTCCATTCCCTCAAGAAAGTTCAAAAACTTGGGTGCAATCAGAACTGATTGCACCCAAGTTTTTGAACTTTATATAAGGAATTGTTGGCTATGATGTACTGATCATGAATCAGTACATCATAGCCAACAATTCCTTCGCAAACAGTGGGAAACTTTGTCTGAATAGTTTAACATTCAGACAAAATTTCCCGCTGTCAGGGAGGGAATTAGAGGGTGGGAGATATATAGATAGACTATAAATCTCTCACCCTTTAATTCCCTCAAGAAAGTTCAAAAACTTGGGTGCAATCAGTTCTGATTGCACCCAAGTTTTTGAATTTTGTATAAGGAATTGTTGGCTATGATGTGGATAGCCGCTGCCAGACCAAATGAATTAACCGTTGTGAATAACGTTTCTGAATCTTTATTTAAAAAGATAAAATATCACGATTTTGGCTGCGTTAAAAATCAAAGAATTGATGTTTTTGTCAAAAATCTTTTAGAAGAAGTTGCACCCAATTACTTTTATCGTATTAAAAACGATTTACTTCAAACAGGTTTTATTCCTTCAATTAGAATTCGCGAGCCTCGATTGACAGATTATAAAACAAAATTGAAAAGAGAAGTTCAATCACGTTTATACCAAGTATTAAATTTTGTTCAGAATCAAGAAGCCAATTTGAATCCATTAAGATTTTTATTGGAAAATGCTGAAGAAAAACTTTCTCAAATAAATGAGAAGATACAAAATTCAATTACATATTTAAGATCGTTTGAAATTCCAAATGAATTGTTAGATACGTATATGTTAGAAATTAATGAATTTTGTTATAATTCTCCAGATTATATTTTAGAACATTTCGAAGAATTTTTGGAGGATTTCAAAGAAAAGAATAATTTAATAGACTAAAAAATTTATTATTTTTATTTATTGTGAATTTTAAATTGTCACTTTTTAAGTGTTACTCCCTATTGAAAGTGTCACTTTTTGGGTGTCACTTTTTCGGAAATTCTTATATACTCTGTGAATGCCGAAGACAATAATGAGCAAGCTCCTATGCATTTAACAGCAATAAGAGATAGTAAAGAAACAGCAATAATTCCTATATATCATGGTGATAATCAAAAATTCACGCCTTCATTTTGCAGCACATGAAAATTGCAAAGAAATTGCAGAACTACTTATTTTAAATGCTCAAGACAATATTAATCAAATACCACTTCATTTTGCTGTAATAACAGATAGTAAAGAAGCGGCATGTGTCCTTATCTCTCATGAAGCAGATTTTAATTCAACTGATCATTTAAATTCCTTGCCTCTTCATTTAGTATGGAATATATATTGATGTAAGGGATGTCATATATAAAACACCTTTTCATTTGGCAGTAAGTAATAATGGGATTGATTGAATAAACTTTCTATTTTCGTATGATTAATGTATTAACGCCAAAGAAGAAAATGGACTAACAGCTCTTCATTGTGCATTAGCTAGGGGTTGCAAAGAGGCAGCAGAATTACTGATATCAGCTGGCTCAGATGTTGATGCTAGAGATAAGATAAATAGTATTCCTCTTCATTATTATTATCAGATCTTCTTCTTTCAAATGGCGCGCATGTTGATGCTAGAGGTAATGATAATATTACTACACTCCATGACGCAGCAGAATAAAATAATAATCAAATGATTGAATCATTTATTTCACATGGAGCCGATATCAATGCGAAAGATGAAGAAGGCAATTCACCTCTTTATTATGCATTTGAAGAGGAATTTCTCCTTTCTAGTGTCATTCATTTATTTTTCTTATCCTCTGTAATTTTCATTTATGAAATATTGGATTTGAATAAAATATAATAACTTTTAAAAACATGTTTGAAGACATACTCGTTATTAATGAGTATACTGTAATTTGTTAGATTAAATGCTCATAATCAATTTTTGAATGTAGATGAAATTGAATTATACTATAAAAGCGTGTGGGAGAACATCGACCACCACCATTGAATGCTCGGACAGGGCTATTGAGTTTCCCACGCTCACCTACATAGATAAATAATTTGGTGAAGTGATTGAATTTAATGATTCCTGAAACATAGCTGCCAAGACCGCCGTTATAGCGATCTTCACCACCAGATGCACCCCAACACTCTATTTGATAAACACCTGGAGATGCATGGTACTCAAATACACCAAATTTATTCGCAGATGCTTTAACAATTGTCTTACAAAAGTTTGATCAGATTTTTAAGGTTATTTTATTCAAAAGTAAAAATTTATTTTCAGGAAATGCTATCAAGATGTAAAACAAAACAAATTTAATTACAGGTTCTCTTAATGTCATTCTTTCTTACTTTCAACAAATACATTTCTGAATGTATTGTTGAAAATGAAGTGAAAAAGTTTAGCTTATGGCATAAGGCTTCTCTGATGTCCATATGATACGGCCTTCAATTCTGTTGTTTAAGGATAATATGATAATATAAGGACTTTTGCATCTAATCCTATAATATATGCGTTTGACAAAAATCCGCGAAAAAAATCGGAAAAAAGTGTATCTTAAAATCTGACATCGGAAAAAAGTGTATCTTTTCTTTATTTTGGCTCACTTCATGATCATCAAAAACTTCTTATTTAACTTTATTTTTATTACATGATCTTATTTTGCTCACATTATTCTCTTTCTCTTGAGCTGTATCTCTAACTTTAGTGAATAGAGAATGAAATGGAAATAAATTATTAAATTTAGGACTACTTATTTTGCATCGATGATTGATTTGAATACCATCATTACTCATTAAACTTCTCTCCGCTTCACAAAAAACTGTTGATAAATATCGATATTGATATACTGATAATGACTTTGAATTCTCAATTCCTACATTATCTTCATCATTACATATATTCATAAACATATTATCTTCCTCAATTTGACAATCATAAACAAATATTTTTGCTTCATACTTAACCCAAAATAGGTATTCATTTACATTTTCTTTAAATACACAACTTCTAATTGACAAATTATTTCCTTGACCAAGAGAAATCAATCCTGGATTGTAATAATCGTAAATTATATGTTTTTCGTATTCAGATAAATCTGAATCATCTATGGTAATACTTCTGATTATATTACAAGAATTCATTATATTATTTAAAGAATTATAGGAAATAAATGATCTGTATGATGTTTGATTACAAAAATTACTCAGATTTACTGATGAATGACTCTGCATGTCATAAATTGAATTAGTCATGAAAGATGAATGAGAAATATTTATAGAAGAATAAAATGTGTCTTTTCCCGAATCAATTAACACAGAAGATCCTCCATATGATTTAGCAAAAGAAGAAAACAAAATATAACTTTTTGTGGTATGATAAATTGCGGAATGAGCTCCTCCTATTTCATCGTGTGAAGCTTTACCTTCAAAACAACATATTTTATACTGGATACTTTCGCCCTCATTGACAAAGAAAATCGAACCTCCACATGCCGCTTGAAATGGACTTATAAAAGTTGATCGAGATGTTAGTAACTTAACGATCCCTTTGTGTGTGTTTAAAACTTCAACTACACCTCTATCCGAAAAATTTGCGAATACAGAACTTTCAATATAAAAATTTCCGGAAACGTTAATCGTTTGGTTTTGATTAACATAAGCATCAAATAACTCACATCCAAAAAATTGATACCATAAATTGTAATCAGGATTATCAACCAGTAATCTATTGGTTAAATTGGGAATTCGGCCTATACACAACTAAGGATATTAAAATAAATAATCGTTATCTGTGAATTTTCTCATTATATATTTAATGGCAAAATAATATTTTTTTGTTCGGCAGATATAAAAATGACACTTTTTATTATTTTTTTAAAGAATAATATATTTTTAATTAGAAAGGTAAATCCAGAAAATATTTGATGAATTTGAACATACTTTCTTGATTGGTTTGAAACTGATTTGAGCAATTCGACACGAAATAATTAGTGAAAGAGGAATTCCTGATTCATTAATCATTTTAAGATAATCACTAGATCTATTCTCAATGATAATTGGGCATCGAATTGATTCACAATCATTGAAAGAATGAGTTAAAACATTTTTGACAGAAAGAGGAAAGTTAATATATTTTAAGTTCTTACAATTAATGAATGAATATGATTCGATCAATGAAACGCTCCTAGGGGCAATGATAATTTTTTTCAATAATGTTGCTATTATTAAATGAATATTGACGTATAACATTACAGTTGATATTTAATTCAGTTTCTGGTGCATTTCTAACATGAAAAATCAGATCGAGTTTAGTATCATTTTTATAATAAAGAGTATTATCAATACATCTGTATTTAATGGATTCGAAATTATTTATGTTTCTTAATGACTTACACGTTGAAAATGCATTAATCGATATAAACAATATATAACTTTCATTGGAAAATATAATTGATCTCAGATTATTACAATTTAGAAATGAATACTCTGAGATGGTTTCAATAGAAGAAGGGAAAGTTATTGAATACAGTGATATGCAATCCTCAAATGATTTTCTTCCAATCGATTTTGAACCTTCTCGAATTGTGACTTGATTTAAGGATTTACATCCAGAAAAGCAATAATTAGATATACTTGGAATATTTGTGATACTCTTTAAATTTATACAATTTTCGAATGCATTATCATTAACAATTAATACAGTTGATTCAAAGTTCACTGAAAACAATTTAATACAATCTTTGAAAGATGAAATCCCCAATGATCTTAAATTTTTAGGATAAAAGCTTAAAAAATTTAATCTAGAACAGTTTCTAAATGCAAAATTTTCAATTATATTTAGTTGTGAATTAACGTCAAATTGTATTTCAATTATTGATGAATTCTCAAATGCGCTTTCTCTGATAATTTCAACTGTTTTAGGAATAATACAATTGGAATTCAGACCCCAATATTCATATATCACTGTTTGCAAAGAATCCATTATCAATGCATTTGTATTAATAATTAGATTTGGTTCATTAATGTACGATATGAAAATGTTTGCAATTCTTTTGATGGAATCAGACAAAAATAATATCTTATGTAGGAATGCCATCTTTAATTTCGGGTGATCTTTAGTAATTATATCAGTTACTTCAAATATCATTGATAAATTTGGAAAAGTAATAAGTTCAATGTTACTGCATCCAAAAAAAGCACTGGTATCAATTGCATATATTGATCCCAAAAATGTAACATTTATCAAATCAAAACATTGAAAGAAGGCCCTATTACTAATTATTTTCAAATTTATTGGATCAGTGATTGAAGTTAATTTCGTATATTGAAAGCAACTTGGTCCTATTGTTTTAATTGACTCTGAAATTTTATATGTGTCGATTGACCTATTGCATACAAAAAATATAGTTGTTATATTCCTTGAAATTACAATGTTATTGTCAACAATCAAATGTGGGTTCTTAGGATGAACTGTTATATTCATTATATTCCATTCTCCAAACATATAACCATTAACTTTAGAGACATTTTCTGGAATTTGAAAAGATTTTATCTTAGTTCCATAAAAAGTTCCATATTCAAAATAAGTTATTTTTGAACCATCTTCAAAAGTAACATTTTCCAGGCTCGTGCAGTATTGAAATATCCAAATATCAAAAAATTCAACAGATGCTGGAATTGTAATATTTTTTAATATATATTTAAAGGCAAATGCACTACTATGAATTTCTCGAAGGCCTTTTGGTAACAATATCTCGGTAATATTATAACACTTGTTAAAAGCGCCATTTAAGATTCTAGTGAGTTTGCTACAAAATGTCAAATTAATCATTCTAAGAGCATTACAATCGGAAAAACATTCTTTTCCAATGGTTTTCAAGTTTGAATTTTCTTCAAATGTGAATGTTCGCAATGATTCTAATTTGTAAAAGCATTTATCTTGTATTATTTCACATTTCGCTGATATTCTGAGATCTGGTGATGTATCATTAACTTTAATAAGTGTTTTTCCGTCAACGGAATAGCAATTCTGATTAATATCTGTATAGAGAATGGTTAAAATGAGTATCTTTTATGTATTAAACAGTTTGTTCTTATGTCTTTGCTTATGATAGTACTGGAAAATTGAGTAATTAATTCCAATTGGTTTCATCGGGTCACTCCATCACTACCGCAACGATACACAGAGGGTGGGTAATTTAAGAAGTGAAGTGAACAATGGCATTGTTTGAAATTGTGGAAGATTTTTTCTTAGTAAAATTTCAAAGAGTTCTCACAAAAAAAATTAAAAAAAAACGTTCCAATTCAACTCAATAACCAAATACTACAGAGGATCAATAACTCTCAATAATGTGAGATATCAATTACCAAGTCATTTGCAGTTCGCCCGCAATTTCTTTCAAATAATAATATTTCTAAAATTGATAAACAAACAGATGTCAAATCACATAAAACATATAATGTATTAAAAACATCCATCAATACAATAACACAGTATTTGTTTGCGATGAAACTGTTTTGAATGATATTTTTCATATTGGAATGGTACTAATATACAAGATTTATTCAAAACACACATAATTGATCAAATGACGTTTGTATAAAAATAATTGCGTTCAATTATTTGAATTCTATTTTTTGAAAATTTCAACATATTAAACCATTTCATTATATATTTTAAATCGAATATTGGGAGTTGTTCTTCACCTGAAAGCATTCGAATGTTCTTGAAAGAAAGTCCAAAGTAGTGAACAGGACCAATGAATGAGTTGTTGTTTTCGAATGAATAATCTTTTGAAACACTAACACATCCATCACAACCTGATACATACGAAGAACCTCCTGCACCTGAAC